TACATCATGTTTTAAAAATACCAGATCCCATCCTTTTTATTTTTTATTTTGTTTATTGGTGTTTTTTTGTGCTCTGTTTTATTTTGTTTTGGAGACTCATTCTATCACCCAGGTTGGAGAGCTGCAATGTAATCATAGTTCACTGCAGCCTCGAACTCCTGAGCTCAAGCAATCCTCCTGCCTCAGCCTCCCAAGTAACTGGAACTACAGGCATCCACCACCATGCCAAACCAATTTTTTTTCTTTGTAGAGATGGAGTCTTGCTATGTTGCCCAAACTGGTCTCAAACTCCTGGCCTTAAGTGATCTTCCTGCCTCAGACTCTCAAAGTGCTGAGGTTACCACACCTGGCAAACACCCTTCTCAATAAGAACTGTGAAGAGTAAGAATCCTAGTATCTATATGTTTTTAAAGATCCTCAGGTGTTTTGACTTGGACACAGTCAACAAAAAAGAGTTTAGGCCCTGTTGGATTATACATATCTCTGGACTTCTAAAATCTCCTGATTCAAAAGAAATCAAAGTGATGCCCATCTAAACCTTTATGGATTTTAACTGAGGAAATACCGAATATGGCCCGAGGTGATAGACAAGCTAGACATTGTGGGGTGTGCCATTACAAAGCTTAGATCTAGGGTTGAGAGAAAATAAATCTGTAGCATGGTGGCTAAGCTAGAATGTTGTACTTCCTGTAATATTTACAACATATTTCAGTCTTTCCACTGGTGAAAAATACCTACTTGCACTGGAACTTTGTTTTGTGCATTTAAAAATACAATCACCAGATTCTCAAAATTACCCAGCTATGTTAATGTCAAATACATGAGAGAAAGGGCTTGCTTGGAATTTCCATAAAAATACAAAACTTCAGTCCATAATCAGCACCTCTGAACAAAGTTATTCACATCAGCCTTTGTTGTTCCAGATGATATTGCAATAAAGATTCAGCGAGAATCTTTGAATGCTACCTTGAATTATTCTATTCAAGGAAGACTGTTGCATGAATATAGAAATTACCTCCATAACCAACTGCATGCTGAAAATTAACTTAACAGTACTGAACACAAATCTTCAAGAAAGACTTCACTGGTCACAAGGGTTATCTGCCATGCTGCCTATTTGGAGTATGAAGGTGAGCATCCTAGCCTATGAGTCCCTCATCTCTGGCATGCTTAATCACTGCACATTCTAGCTCACAGCCTTAACAACCCTGGCGGCAGAGAACTTAGCATGCATCATGCTGTTTGTCTTCAGTGAGGAACAGTTAACTCCTTCGCGAGCCATTATACTATAGAGCAGACATG